CCTTTCTACCCAGCCTTCCCTCTACCCTCCAGTTCCTCTCTGTACCAGTGTACTTCCTCTGGTCCAGCCAGATTTTTAATCACCTTCAATTTCAAGTTCATTAATGATGAATAAAATTAAGGTGTGATGTTTTAGAGATGGTGAAAAGTTTATTGTGAGAGGGTAAGTCATTAACAAATCTGCAACCTCTCAATTTTTTTTCTTTTCTGTTACAAGAAACATTTGGTGTTTAATGGAGGTAAAGACAGATGGATTTGGAAATGACTTTTCCTTGTTAAATGAAGAGGCACTGCTGCTTCATAGCATTCGATGCAGTCCTATGGGATCATATTTACATTATTTTTCTTTGAGGATGTGGCTGTGTTATTGTTACTATGAAGTTAAATAAATGAGCTTTAAAATTTTGTGGAACAATGGAGCTGAAAAGATGATGGAATTTTTTATGAACTTTTTGAACCCCCTCAGATTTGGTTGGTTTGAATTGTGCTGCACTAGGAGTGTGATCTTCACTGTGAAGGTTCAGTATAACCCGGGTGTTGGACTACCCAATAAGCAAGGTCAACCCAAGCATAGGTACATCTATGTTAATCTGTAGTGAACAGTTTCATTTGTTTTTTCACTACATCTTTGCTGTGGTTCAGTTTTTACTACAGATTCATAAATACAAATAACCCCCCTTACTTATTTCTTATTGGGTAATCCATCCCTGATTAGCAGCTCATGAGCACTTTTTAAAAGAGGAAATTTCGAAGAAGGGTAGACGATGACAGTGAATGTTTAGACAGTGAGACTGATTGTTTTTCAAAAAATCAAATTCATTATGCACCTGGCAATGAAGACATCCTCCTTGTAGTCATAGAGAAAGCAACCCCATTATGTGTGTGCTTCTATTAACCAAGTTGTTTTATTTAGATCAGTGGGCAGGATACCATCTGTTACCAGAAATTTTCTTTTCATCAAGCCTACCCCCATTAAAAGACCCCAGTTAAGTAACGTCAGCTGCCCCCTGTTTAATTTCCATAACTCCATTCAGGGTTATGGAAAGAAAAAGGGAGCTAAGAGGCCATTGTAAATTGTACTGGGCCCTCAGAGGATTGAATTTGGTCATCTCTTTGGCAAGAAAAATTAATGGGAGGAGTTTATGTATGTTGGATAAGAAGGCTGAGAAGGGGGGGTAGAACTGATGGTAGCGGGAGATAGCTTTAAGGAAATGGTTTAAAAAGACTTTTAAAAATAGGCATCTTTTTTCAGACTTCTTGCTTCCCCAAGATCTCTTTTTATAAAATATGTTTCAATTAGATAGCTACAAGTAATGAGTGATAAGAGAGTTGACACTTTGAGTATTTTATATAATGGTATATATATATTTATATATAAACACATAAATATATATATATTTAGAGGGATTTATAAGACAGTGATATGCAAATATTATTATTATAAATGTTAACCATATGACACTGAAAGAGTTTATTGTTTTTATTCTCTCAAAGGTCCATGACACCAGCTCAGGCTGACCTAGAATTTCTGGAGAATGCCAAAAAGCTATCTATGTATGGAGTTGACCTTCATAAAGCAAAGGTAATTATAACTTTGATTTTTATTAATATATGTCAGACCTATGTGGTTTCAAATTGCTGACCTTGTGCATTGCAGCCCAATGTGTAGCCACTATGCCATCAGGGTTCCATTCACATGACAATAGAATTTGGAAAAGGAAATTCAAGTATCTGTTGGGTGATTGAACTAAAATGACTTTATGGTTTCCTCCAGCTCTGAATATCTGACATCTGAAGTGTCTTCCTTCCTTAAAATACATTAAAAGTTTTAGGAAAGTGACACTGAGTTCAGTGCTTTGTCATATTATTATTATTTTTCCTAATGTTGCTTGAGAGTTATGGGGCTCAATGCCGTAACTTCTGTAAATGGAAGGAATATCAGTAAATCACAACAAAGGATTTCTAGACCTAAAATTGTTAGGTTTTGTTCCTTGTTCCTCCTGGAGGCTGGTATCAATTTCATAGTTAACAGGAATGAAGGAAGGAA